GGTGCGAGGCGTTGGGTCTCTTACCCCTCCTCCGGGTACGGCTGGAAGCGGGCTGCGGTCCGTCCGCAGCCGTGGGATCCGCGCGGTGCTGGGAAGCGCCTGAGCATCCTCCCGCGGCCGGTTTGCTGACGGGCTTATTATTCCTGATGGAGAGCGAAGAAAAGGTCATTTTCCCTTGTGTTGTGGCTGTCTGTGATGGAAGGAACCCTCTTGGAAGTTGGGCTGTGCCAGGCTGTCAGCCCTTGTGCCTGGGCTCCTGTGGTTGTGCTGACGGTACTGCCCCGTGCCGTTGCTTCGACGCTTTAAGGGCCTGAGGGCCGGTGCGGTCCTTGGCTGATCCCCAGGACACGGGCTGTGCCTGTAGACCTGCAGGCACCTAAAACTGCATCCTGAGTTATTTGCACTAAGAAAAAAGAAGCCGGTTTAAAACTAAAAGGAACACATGAACTTGATTGCATTTTACACTTCATTTGGCTTTTAAATTGGCATGTTCTTTTTAAATCTACCTGTACCACAGTCGTGGGAGCTTTTCTCTTTAGGTTGTGCACAGCAGATGAGGTGCCTGACGCTGGATTTTTTTTTTTTTTTACTTCTCTGACATTTCATATGTGGAAAAAGCAGCTTTTTTGTTAAGTCATAAGCAGTGACAGCACCCTGTGTGCCACTGCTGTTTGGCATGACAGTCCCCCCCGTGCTGGGTGGCCCTGGCGCTCTGCAGGGCGATGCGGAGGAGCTACGGGAGACGCGTTCGAGTTGGATTTCAGAAGTAACGAGCTCTGCGCTGTGGCTGGGCTCGCCTGCTGCTCTCTCAGGCTTTGTGTCACTCACATGCAAAGAAACAAGTTTGGGACCAGATGGACCATGCCCGTCATCAGACTTCACTGAGTTGTGGACTATGAATTATTCGGAAGAATCGAGTCTTGCTCTCTGGCTGTGCCCGCCGAGGTCCAGCTTCAGCTCATGGTGGAAGCAGGATGTGGCTCAGCTGCAGGCACGTTCTGGCGAGCGTCGTAAGGACTTCACAGCAGGCCCTGTCTGAGTGGGAAAGGGGTGTGCGCAGTCCCGGCGGCTGCTGCTGTGTCACCCGGCGTGGGAGGGGACGTGCGGACAGGACCGCTGTATTATATGCGCTGCGCTGGCCTCGGCGCCAGCGGTGTTCGTTAGCGCGGTGTTCGCAACCACGGCTTGACTCCTTGCTGCATGCAGGTCAGGAGCTGCGCTTCCAGCATGTGACCTGTGGGCAAAGCTTTCGTTTCTTTTTTCTTCTTTTTTTTTTTCTTTTTTCCTTTTCCTAGCTCATTTTGTGGACCTAGAATACGACTTGCAGACCTTGTCCCGTCCTCAGCTTTTTCTTGCTGAAATGTGGTGCCTACAGATCAAGTACGTGATGAATACAATGAAGATGCGCTCTATATGCCAAATCTAACTTTTCTCCTTAAATGCACAGTTGCTGCCTGACTTGTGTTTACATAACCTTTAAAATGCGGGCACTGAAATGCCTCATTCCTGTGATTCAGAACCATTCCAAGCCCGAACGGTCCCAAGCCTGACGCCTTGCTTCTCGGTCTGTTTTGTGTCGTGCTCTACTCCTAGGGTCAAAGTCTGTTCCTGAGAATTTCAGCTGGAGCCTTTGCTGCTGACATTGGTGGGAACAGAGCGAAGCTTGCCATGTCTGAATAAAGCCACTTAAATGGGCTGGTTTCCGCAGCCTGTTCTACGATGGAGCCTTCTAAGAACCAAATCTTTCTCTTCCCACTTCCAAGTGTCCAGTCTCAGGATGGAGCAAGCCATTGCCATAGCTGTCCGTTCACACCCAAGGCATGTGTGCTGACAGGCACGCTGGAATGAACGTGAAATGTCTTTGAATAGCGGCTCTTTTGGGAAAATGCAGGTTTTCTTGTGCTTGGGTCTTCAGCTGGTGCAGTGCTGGGGATGGCAGGACAGCCAGGCTGCCTGGGACCTGCAGGAAAGCTGGCCCGTGTCAGTCGACAGTGACAGAAGTGAAATCCCTGTTGCTGTGGATGACTTGTGAAATCAGGAGAAACAGGAGACCCCCTTGGGGTCAGAGCAGGGAAGAAGAAGGGGGGATGGGAGCTGTGAGGTGTAAGCCACAGGATGCCGAAGCGGCAGTAACCCGACGGCGACGCTGTGGTTGCTGTTCATGCACCACGTTACACGCTGCTCTCCTACAGGGCTCCTTAGCGAGCGAAAAGGTCAGTACGGGCTTGTCGGTGGAAAAACTTGAAGGAAAAAGGCTGGGTTTTTTTTTTTCATAATAATTCATTGAAGTTTGATCACTGGCTAGTGACACTGAAAGATAAGAGAAGTAATTAAGATTCCCTCTAAAAATGTTACGGGATAATGGAGGAGCTTGGTGTAGTCATAGCTACTTTTCAGAAGACTAATCCTAATCTTCACGAGAATATTATGACTTGAAATTGCATAAAAGCTTAAAATCAAGTTTGTATACACACAGTTGAAAAAACCTAATACTGCACCATTTATCCAATTTCCCAGCTATGAATTTTTTTTAAAAACCATGTAGTATATAGAACGTGTAAATTATATACAGGCAATGAGAAGATACATTTTCAGCTTCTTGAAAAAAAAAAAAAAGGACTGCAACCTTACATTTTTTTCACTTAAATGCAATTTTATACATTTATGTTGCTTTATATAAAGGAAATTGAATGTGAATGTTATCTTTTATGAATGCAACTTGCTCTTTTTTCATTACAGAAACTTTTGTTTGAAGTAATCAATAAACTTTGG